TTAAATGAACAAATATTAAATCAATGCCGAATATCTAAAAGCAGGAGGAAGAAATAAGAAAAAAACAATTTAAAAACTAATAAATTGAATATCAATTCAATAAAAATTTAAAATTCAGTGAATAGCGACATCCCTAGCCGGGACTGGTAGCTGTAAAGGTATCTAACTGGGTGACGAAATACTTTCATAGATTTCTAATAGATGGCGCTACGGCTAAAAAGTCGTTGAAAAACCAAATACAAAGACACGACAATAAGCACATAGAAAAATTGGTGAGGTCCGCTAGTTTGTTCCGGGGCTTAGTTGGTACAGCGTCTGACACGGTATGTTAGAAAACGTCGGTTCAAATCTGGCCGGATCGAAGGACTTTTTTCTAAGTGTCCGTATCTGTCGTGTATCTTTGTATTAATAATTATAAGAAAAAACAGTAAATTATTGTGTAACTTTTATTAATCCTGAGTACACATTGTAAGATCGCGAATGGGCAATTTTTCCCTTCTTTACCTAAAGGATCAAACAAAATGTAGAGTAATTTTTCTAAGAGATCAGTAAAAGGGGCCATATGAAATGGAACTATCTATTTATTACGTAGTTTACTCTTGACTAAATAAACGCCAACAAATTTTTTATACCAAAATAAAATAATGTTTTTTAAAAGTTAATTAAACTGAAGTGAAATAAACAACACTTGCTTCATGATATTATAAAAAAAAAAGTCATAAATATATAACTAATTAATATATTTTGAGGCAGTTATGACTTGTACAATAAATATAAGCCATAACTGCTTCTGTGGCCGAACGGTTACCATGCCCGACTGTAACGCAGAGGTTCCAGGTTCGATTTCCTTACCAGGAGAAATATTTGTATAGTCTACATTTATTTAATGTGTCCATGGCACCCGCGACACAGGGTTTCCCTAGCGCGAGGCTGTGTTGAGTGTGCAGTAGGTAATCGTCTACCTTTACACACACGCGCGAATTTAAGCAGAGATGCAAAGGCGATGCAAACGCGCGGCTGCATCGATGCTAAAAGTCTACGTGTGTAGCTCTTACATTAAAATGTAGGTGGTGCATAAAAGGAGCCTCCCCGCACGATATACCATTCCTTTTCTATAAGACTAATGCTCCCTGGGTAACAATCGGTGAGTACCTTACGCCGTTGGCAAATCTTTTCACCGTGATAACAAGCTTTATAGTGTATGCCATAGATACAATTAGAAGAATTTATATTTAAAAATATCCGAGGTAAAAATGTGTGCTTCAATTCAAAACGGTTTTGAAGGGTAAGGATGCTGGTGAAATTACAGGTACATGGGACTTGTCAACTCATATCTCAGGGTGACGGGTGCAGCGGCAGTGCCTTTCAGATCTTTGCTATTTAAAGCTCTGAGTGGCACTGCAACTTATGGATAGTAAGTAGTAGTTTAACTGCCTCCGTGGCCGAACGGTTACCATGCCGGACTGCCAAGCAGAGGTCCCAGGTTCGATTCCCGGGCCGAGAGAAATAGTTGTATGGCCTACAATTATTTCTCTCGTGAGTTTGGGTGTAATTTGTGGTTGTCTATGTGTGTGTCCATGGCACCCGCGACACAGGGTTTCCCTAGTGCTATGTTGAGTGTGTGCGTTATTTATTTATTTATTTATTTAGTTATGGATAGGCGTGTCGCTTACCACTAGGCGCACAACTTGTTCGTCCCGTTAGTTGTCGTATGAAATAATTATAACTTTTTTATAAAACAAAGCTGACCTTATAAGTTTGCTTATCCGGATTCATCTCCTAGTTTGTCACCCTTAGGGATGGAATATTTTCTTCGAATTTAAATGTGACCAATGGGTGCCCTCTTTCCGACAAAAAAAGAATCATCAAAATCGGTTCACAAACGCCGGAGTAATCGCGTACCTTAGAATAATAACGCATAGAATGATAGTTTCATATCAAACGAACTGTCACAAGTGAGGCAAAAATCAAATTCATGTAGGCTAGTTTTCGTAGTAGGTTAATTTTCGGTTTTAGTGAATATTTATATAAAAATACAAGTTGAAACGCGTTGCTTCCTTGTGGAATGTGATGTTAGTATTTATTTTATGTTTGTCTGACGTATTTTTACACTCATTTACCGCACATTTCGTCATTTTTAGCTAAAATTCTTGGGCTGTTCGCGGTGCAAGTTGACCTTGAGCACTGAAGGCCCGCCTGCTCGTGTAGGCCCATTGGGCGCGCTTCAATTTGCCTCACTTAGCGTGTGCGGACTATGTCTCTATGCGTTATTATTCTAAGTCGCGTACCATATACACAAAAAAATACAGTCTAATTGAGAATCTCCTTTTTTTTTGAAGGCGGCTAAAAAAGCTAAGAACTCGCCGAAACCAACTAGATGAACCAAAATATTTATACTGTAAGTAGTTGAGGAGTTGGATAGACTGCAGACTGTCCCGGTTGCCATATTATTCTATTGTCATCGGATTTACAAAATAGACCAAATTTCAATCCGATCAGAGAATTGGAAATAAATACATTTTTGTTTTATCATTAAGACCACTACACTAACTGGGAAATGAGCTGATGATCTTTATATAGCTGAACAAATGTTCATCAATCATAATTACGCACTAAAACCTTATTGGAATACGCAGTAGAGGCCTGCTCTTCGGTCGGCAGCGTATAAAATATTTCACATTCTTATTCTAACACTAATTCTTCCTGTCAGGAAATAATAATAAATATCTCCGCTCGACTAGCATCATCAGGGGCCTTACCATGAACTCTTATTACGATTCAGTTTAGGACCTAAACCAAAACCATGAAGTGTATATCACCATCCCGCTTTTTTGTCGTTACAAAATTATACTGAATTGTAATAAGAGTTCATGGTAAGGCCCCGGGTGAGTGGATCTCTACTGCCTTTTTAAATCTTCCTTTTGGATCCAGCTCCCGAGCTAGTCAAGAATACGCATAGTAAATGTGGTTATTTACACGCCCTACCTATTAGCTAAGGACCATCCTGATTAAATTAGCCTCAAATAAAAAAAATACTTTGAAATCAATCAAACCGTTTGGTTGCTACGATGCCACAGACATACAAATATACACATACACCCATAGGCTTCAAACTTATAGCTCTCCCCTTTCTGCGTCTAGGATCAAAAAGATACTCTATGCTACACACACTGTGTTCAAAAACAGCAAATTACGACCAGCATAAAAATAAACTGTTTTGTTACAACAAATTTCTTATCTGTGAAAATGGTGTTACTGCTTCTTAATAACATCAAATTCTATTATATTATTACATTCAAATTTGAACATCTCTGAAAAACAAAATAATTTGATTGGACCTCAATTCTAATATCAGTTGAGATGAAGTTTTATTCGAAATGAAATGACAAATTTCACACGTTACTTGATATCGAACGATGTGATAGTTGGGGCCGACGCTACTTTGTCTATGAAATAAATATAAACTACGGTGACATGCGTGAGAAAAGTTTTTATTTGCCGCCTTTTCGCCAGTCGTAACACGCGGTTCCTGAACACATCATAGAGAGCTTATAATATGTGTATAGATAAAGCAGTATATGTAACTGTACATAATTACTCATTAAGACTCGTGAGATGTTTTTATGAAACTCGCCTGTCGGCCGTTTCATAAACCCACCCTCGTATTTTAATGCCTTGTATTATGTAATAGTCATATAAACTACCATCTCGCCAGTTTCACAATATTGCACTCCCGCAACGAATGCAGGTTCTGTTTCACATTTTTTAGCAGTAATAAGAACTCACCATAACTCCCTCTCCCTTTTCCCCGGCCTGGTCTCTTTGTAGCCCGCGTTGAACTGCAGCCCTTTATGGAAACAAGGGCACTGGGCCTCCGGTACGCACACGTTGTTGGTGTCAAGAAGCTAAAACGAGTAGAGTTGAAAAGAGCATGTTAGAGTGAGATAAAGCTATACAAAAGAAATAGATTATTATCTCAGGAACCGACTCAGTTAGGTAGGTCTTTATTTACCAGGCAAAATCATTCGTGTTCTGGAGAATTTTCCCGCAGTCTCGGGAATTCTCGCATCTACCGACCTACCGTATCGTATCCAGTTTGTGCGTTATACAATCGACTTAAAATTCATTATGTTTTGTACAATTTCGTTACAAAATTCGCTCCCATTCCGCTCCGCAGCAATGTAAATTTAGCCTAAGAGTATTGACGGGTGCAGTGGCAGTGCCCCTCAGGTCTTTGCGATGTCAAGGTCTGAGTGACATTACAATTATTATGCGTAGACGTGTCGCTTTCCATCAGGCGCATAATTTATTCATCCCGTCACATAATATTATAAAAAACAAAACAGAAAAATACGTACATTTTTTCTAGTTTTAAGTACTTTTGACACTACTACTTCAAAAACTTCTGAATGTCTACTTTTTGTTCATAGAATAGACGGGCAATGATATGGCCTATGAATATATACAGTAAAGTAGAAATTGCACCCTTCTGAAGTTCAGACTAAAATATAATATATAGGACATTGACTTACAATTATATGGACGTCGGGTCCGCGCTAAAAAGTGTCCGAACTTATAGGGCGTTAAAATCGTACACAGAGCGTCATTCACGGGTTAGTCTTCGTTTGTTCGACTGACAGCGAAGCAAGCAAAATTAGACAGTACTGCGATGACATTACAATTTAAATTCAACGTTTTAGCTTTTTCATATTCCTTTACAAGTCACTACGTTTAAATAGGTGGACTTGGGACATTTTTTTCGTGGTTTGTGTATTAGACCCGTCCATTTATTTGTAAGTCAATGACATAGGATTATTTATTTTACTCTGTACTTACACTTTCGAAGCCCATTCTGAACTTCAAAACTTGAAACCAAGTGAATTTTACATTATAAGACATCCATGGTCAATAGACGTCCTATTCGCGGGTCTTTTGAACGTCCCTATAATTATAGCAAATAAACCCTGACGTTGGAGCTCATTTTACAACTTCTATAATAAAGATTAAATATTTTTAAAATCGTAATACTATTTTACCTGTCCAGGAGGGCAAGCGCAGCCCTCAACGCAACTGGGCTTGCAATCGCTGTTGGAAACAGCACGGTCAGTACAAGTACGCAGACAGCTGTCCGCACACACTGTGTATTCTTGCCCACCATTGCAGGATAGTTCTGTTATAAAAACATGGTTCAATTTGAGAAAGTTTTACTATATATTGGTCGTTATTATGTAAAGATCAAACAACAGAAAGAAAAATTAATTCGATCCAACTCGTACCAGCATCTGTTTGCCAAACCGGCGTAACCGCTCTTACCAATTGAGTTACAGATCGAGTAACCAAAGCTTATAAATTTATCTACGTACAGTCAATGCTCTAAGGTGCTTAAACGACTCTAGCTAACCTTTTAATAATAATAATAATAATAATAATAAAAATAATAAAAATTCAAAATTAATTTTTTAGGCCTTGGGAGAGGCGAGAGTTTAAAATAAATACGGAAATAATAATAATAATAATAATAATAATAATACCACAATATACAAAATACATTGGCATAATATCCATAATAAAATACATAAAACAATAAATTATACTGTGGGAGACTGGTGCCTAAACTAGACGTATGATCTGTATTTCAGGTCACCAGGACTCCACCCCTTGGAAGATACTTGTTATTTTGAAGTATGTACTAGTAGTACATTGACAATTGTAGTAACTAACTTATCTATATATTAATATATTTTGGTTCTAAGATCTTTTTTATGCATTCCACAGTAAAGCGTAAAGGAATTCCAGGTTTTGAAATTAGAATTTACGTAATGTAACTAAGGATCAAATTGGCTTTAAAGGTTCTTAAATCGTCATTCACTAATGATGCAATCTTCTCAGCGTGTCCACTCTGATGTTTATAATTGTGAGGACCGGTACACAGCGACTGAAACAGCATTATCAGTGGCGTTGTACAGGTCCTCGCGTGTTCAGGTGTAGGAGCACGCAGCACAAGACAAAAGATGTGCCGTAGGCTGGGGAGAGACACCACAAATACATGCGCTCTCCGAGTTGTAACCCCACCTATACATGCTCTACTTGCTTCGGCCGACTTAGGTCCGCAATCTATTTAGAGACTTAAATGATTCAATAAGGACGTCATATCAAAATGAATTTTACGGCTTACAGGTTAAAGGTTAAGTTTGTTTAACAGCTATGTTCACACTGATCTAATCAGATCGAATAGTCGGTTAGAGGTATCTTAGGGCATCGGCTGTACCTGTTGCAGATCTTTGTTTGTACTGGGTTTAAAAGGATTTTTTTGCGGACCTGTGAGAAACTTATGACAGTTTTACAAATGACCTGTACCAAGTAATTAATCTATTTGTGTTATACACATTTTTTTTATAGCCTCGCACTAGGGAAACCCTGTATCGCGGGTGCCATGGACATGTGTCTTTAGACAACTACAAATTACACCCAAACTCACAAGAAAAATAAATGTAGGCCATACACGTTCTGGGAATCGAACCCAGGATCATGGTAACCGTTCGGACACTGAGGCATATGAAAATAGAGTGGTGAAATAGATATACTGATCCAACCTGGAAGGCAACATTAGAAGAGGATGGCCGCAAAAGAAGCCTTCCGTAATTCCTATAAGGTTTGTATAAAGAGATTGATAAAAGTAAGAGAAGCATGAGAAGTTTGTAAGGATCGATCGAAAGTGGCGACCGTCTATCCCAATGGGAATCAGAGTCCATGATGCCACTTCAACAAAATTAATAGCATATACCAGACTAACATTAACAAATTGAAAATAAAGCACCCACTTACCACACTCTTTGACATTGTACCGCCACTGAATGTTGACCCCTGATTGCGCGCAGGCCATGGCGTACTCGCCGAGCCACGGGCAGAAGCAACGTGACACGTCGCCGTCGCACGCGCACACGTCGTACAAACACGAGGTATAGTACGCCTCCACGTCCACATACCAATGACAGCCTGGTTAAAATAAGTTCGATTCTTAAAAATTTCACTTTCATGGACAATTATTTAAAATATATATACTAAATACATTGTGATGTCATGACAGATGGATTAAAAAGCGACAACCGATGGTGGCCAACAAGTCGAACCTTTGGTATTATAAATATACACCAAAAGTGCTTTAACAAATGAAAGCAAAATGGCCAAGCGCCCGGCGCATTGTTAACGCCCTGATGATAATGATGATGATGATAATGGTGATCAAGTTGAAAATCTACGTACTCTTAAACAGATTACTCTTCAATTTGCTGCAGTACTTCTCAGCGGCTTCTTTGTTTTGCACGTAAGCGGTACAAGGGTGCACGGGTTCTATCGTCGAAATGTCATCACAGAACTCCCTGGTCTTCCACTTGTTTGCGAACGCGTAGACCGATTGCTCTGTATCGCCTTCGGGGGTGAGGAAGTCGTCTTTTTGGTTCATATTGAAAGTTCCACAAAGACCCTGAATAAGGGAAGCAAAACATAGAGAGGATCAGTTGGGATTTAAACATGTCGGTGGATCAGTTGCAGGGGATCAGACGGGGATAATCAAAAATTTCAAAATGCAATGTAATAATTTGTTTAATTGAATTGATATGTACTTGGTTTTTTCAACGACTTTTTAGCCGTAGCGCCATCTATGAGAAATCTTAAGTATTTCGTCACCCAGCTACCAGCCTTTCCAGCTACCAGCACTGGCCGAATTGTTTTCAAACAAATTAAATTTCGTCTCTATTTCTGGTTATATACTTGAAAACCTACGGTGATGGGCACAGTTGCAGTGCCCCTCAGATTTTTGCGATTTAACACTCTACACTGCAATGCATTGGCGCAACTCTTACCACCAGGTGCACGACTTGTTCGTCCCGTCAATTATTAATATCATAAAAAAGCTAGCTATACAGTCTTACATACCTTGGTCTTGCCTTTGAATTCCGGTGGCACATCAATAATTACTCTAGTCACGGTGTCCCACCAAATGTCCACTTTATTAGGCAGTTGTACTAAAAAAACAATACGATTAAGTTAAATTACCTGTCAAAACGATTAAATTAAACAGGTTTTTAGGTGAGGAATCTGTTTTAACTGCGGCTGCAGCACCCGACCATAGCGTTAAGAGGCTGTCGCACGAAAGGTGATGTTCGAGTAGCAGTAGAGCCCCTTATGAAAGAGTCCGTCTAGGAAAGTACTGCCACCTTACCTATTTCTGTCGCCACGTAGTAATGTGAATATTACTGCGTTTCGGTTTTGAAGGGTAAGGGTGCTGGTGAAATTACAGGACTTGTCAATTTATGTCTCAGGGTGACAGACGCAGTGGCAGTGCTCCTTAGATCTTTGTGATTTGAAGCTCTGAGTGACACTGCAACTGTTATGGACAGCAGTAGCGATGCGTGAAACTAATCGTTAGTAAAGCCGGTCCAATATAAAAAAAAATCAACCTTAAGAAAAACTTCTTTTTCCGGTAAAAAAGCGCCTTGTGACCTTATACGCAACACTTATTAGCACACAAGATACTATGGACCCCGATGAATTTTGAGTTTTCAGCCGTCATTATTAGGTCTTATTTTACTATAGTTTTACAGCGGACTTTTGCAAATGGGTGTGCATTTTGAAATGACTGCCTAGGTTTCATGAATGAAATAGAAGCCGGAATCCGACTGGCTTGCGTGATAGACCGCGCGATGTGATTGGCAGAGATGCCGAGATCCAGCATATTCCGTATGTTGAATATTTTAGGATTGAAACATAAAACTGCAAATCGGCGCGATGTGAAGTCGCAACGCAGAAAACTGCGACGCGAATTGCTGCGATGAGATTTCGTGCGGCAAAGCGTCTCACTTCCACGGTTCGAGTGATCATTCCTTCGGCGATCGTTAACGGTACTAAACGTATTTTTTTTAAACTAGGCAGCGACAGGGATCCTTAAAATGCACATCCATGCACACCTAAATAATGCCTATTCACTCTCGCCTTGAAAAGGTCCAAGTCATAACGTTCAGGGAAAAAGTCTGCAGGCAGGGAATTCCACTCCATAGCCATTCGCCATATAAATGTGGAAGCGTAACGCTTAGTGCGAGATCCGCAACATAGGGGTGGAACCCAAGCCCACGCCTAGTCCCCTGGTGATGGAAAGGGGAAGGCGAAATTAAATCGTGTAATTCCATCGCACACTCTCCGTGATATATCCTGTAAAATACCGATAAGCAGGCAACTTTACGGCGGTGTTCAAGGCTCTGCAGCTTCGCCTCCACTAATTCCGAGTCACCTATAAGCCTGTCAATTGAATCCAAAGTGGCCAGTTGATATGTAGCATGATATGAGCCATCCCAGAGGTGGCAGCAGTACTCCACGCACGATCGGACTTGTGCTTGGTGCAGCTGAAGCAACTGTCCCGGTGTAAAGTAACGCCTCACCCTGGAAAGGATCCCAAGCTTCCTGGCTGCATTTTTGGCCATGGATTCAATATATCTGCCGAAGTTCAAATTGGACGACAGGTCCATTCCAAGTAGCTGGAGACAATCGTCTATCGGTATGGATATATCACGAAAAGTCGGAGTCAGCTCAAAAGGACTCCGTTTTGTGGAGAATAGACACGCCTGCGTTTTGGTGCCGTTGAATTTGACAAGATTGGCATTGCCCCAATCGGAGACTGTCTGGAGTGTAAAATCTAAACGGCTAACCATGGACTCTCGACAAAACTGGATTTCCTCCTCACTGACCCTTGCATTGGTCAAGTACCTATCTACAACTGTGCTGTCATCAGCATACGCAAAGGTACCTGGAATTAACATATCATTGATATGCAGCAGAAAGAGAGTCGCAGACAGTATGGAACCCTGAGGAACTCCGGCCATCTATCGCCATATGTTCGGAAGAGTATAACCTCGCTCCACATGTAACAAGCATACACAAGAAGATCCCCAGTAGATCGCCCTCGTCGGAATCCGTACTGGCGATCACTGGGTAGGTCGTTGTCTTCAAGGTACGATAGGAGACGGTTATTGAGTACACTTTCCATAGTCTTGCAGAGTATGGAAGTGACTGAGATAGGTCTATAGTTGACAGGGTCAGCTCTACTTCCCTTTTTTGGCACAGGTTTGCAAGCTTCCACGACCTGGGAACTACACCAGGCTCAAGTGAGAGGCGGTACAAGCGTGTGAACAGGAGACAACTCAGGTGCACAGTACTATTGCTGGTATTCCATCTGGCCCGCTAGCTTTATTCAGCGTCTAGATTTCGCAGAGTTCTAAGTACCTCTTTTTGGCGTATGCGAACTGGCGCCATAGTGCAGTTAGCCTGAGGTTTTACCTTCTACCACCTACTAAAGTAGGTGGTAGGGTCCCTGCGGCATCCAGACGCGAACTCTCTGCAAAGAGTGAGGCAAAGAGATTCGCCTTCTCTTCCGCAGTATGAGCCAGCGAGCCAGCCGGCCTCAGCAGAGGTGGCAAAGATGGGCGACAAAAGTTATATTCGACCGCTTTGGCCAGGGACCAAAAGGATTTGCTGTCTGCTGGATAAGAGGCAAGCTTGGCTCCTATGCGGCGGACATGGTCGAACTTGGCCCTATGCTTATACGCTTTTCAACGTCTTGGAGGCCTTACAAACGCATTCCTCAAATTCTGAGTACTCGGAGCTTTGCGTAGTCGAGCATCTGCCCAAGCTTGGTACGCGGACTGTTTATGTGCTTCAGCACAACTGCAATCAGCGTTAAACCATGGACGAGCTTGGAGTCCATTGGGTACATCAGAGTAAGGTATATAATACTCCATACCCAAACGCAAGACCTCGACTACAGCATCAGCACGGCTCGACGAGTCTCCTGAAGTAAAGCACGCCGGCCAGGGATATGACGCAAAGAAATGACGCAAAGAAATGGCGCATTTCGTCCCAATCTGCTAACTTGTATCGCCACACCCGTCTCATACCACTAGGGCCCTGACTAGGGTCTGTGAAATGACAAAATAGTACGTATTCACGTTGATCACTTTATGTAACAACAAAATTATTGTAATAATTTATTAAAACGAAGATCGAATTCAAAGAAAAATTCATTCGATCCGGCTGGATTCGAACCAACGCCTTTACCACACCGTAGTTGACTCTCTCCGTTCTGAGCTACTGAACATTAGACCTTACGAATTATTCTGTGTGCTTGTTGCAGATCTTCGTTTTTGGTTTTTAACGACTTCTTTGCCGTAGCGAAATCTGTGAGAAATCCATGAAAGTTTCTCTTTATTCAGCCAGGTACCTTTACGGTTACCAGCGGCTGACTAGAGAGAAGTCGCTTAAATAAAATTAATAATATGATAAAAGTATTTTTATGGATAAAATAAGTGCTCATCCATCTCAACTGATGGTAAGTGACGATGAGACCGACGATGGAGATGTAGTAAAACATAGTCAACTTAATATTCTTAATAATTTAACATGAATTTAGATATAAAAAAAATATTAATAGGGTCTCTGTTTCAAGGTGTTAAAATAACGTAAGATACTTTAATTACTATTATTCTATAAAAAAAAGTACTCACCAGTAAGAAACAGTGAAGAAGCTGCCCTAATTTTAATATCTCCGACCACAGCAGGCAATGTAGTAACTTCTTGGCCGTTGATGAGAATATACCCGCCTTGTTTGAGGTGCAGGCTCACTGCGCCGTAGTTGATTGTAACGGCTTTCGTGCAAGATGGCTTGCCTTCGCCTTTATAAGGGGTTAGATTCATTGCCTGAAAATAATAGTAAGTTATATATGGTATTTATATAGAGCGTCCCACGGCAATGGGGTACGTAGGAAAAGTACGTACTAATAAATAATTTTAAAAATAAGTAATTAAAAAGTTGGTGAAATTACAGGCAAATGGGACTTGTCAACTTATGTATCAAGGCGACGAGCGCAGTGGTAGTGCCCATAAGATCTTTGCGATTTAAAGCTCCGAGTGACACTAAAACTGTTAATGATAGGCGTGTCGCTTATCACTAGGTGCACGACTTGTTCGTCCCATCACTTGATATTATAAAAGTAAAAAAAATACTGCATTCAAAGACTTTAAAAACTTTCTTCTTTCATCTGCGAATCAAATCGACCAAATATAAAAAAAAAAAACAGACTGTATTTCTATGATTATAATCGGATGTTTGAATTATAAGTAACATAACAATAATAATTTCTTCGGTACCTTTTTTATGCTTATATAAAATTTCAAGAACTACTTTTTATTTTTCTAATTTCTGTACTCAAGTGTCCGAAATTTAAGGGTCGTATTCCGGAACTCTACTCAATGTTCAAGTCAGGACTTGAGTATGATTTAAAGCACTACAAATCATACTCAAGTCCTTGCCATTAGGGTCGTATTTCCAGTGTTTGAAATCATACTCAAGTCTTGACTTGAGGATTGAGTAGAGTTCTGGAATACGACCCTAAGAATGATAAGACACGAAAAAATCATAGAATTGGAAACGAGTTCCAGGTTAAAGCGCCGAAAATCTGAGAAACATAACAAGTACTGATCAATCATGGAACATTGTACGAGTATGTCCGAATTTAACAAATCATAGCCTAAGTCCTTCGTCAACTACAAGTAATGGCGATATTTTAATAATTACTTATAACTTGTTTTAATTATTAATACAAAGTTCGAACACTCAGAAAATATTCCTTCGATCCGGCCGGATTCGAACCGACGTCTTCTAGCTTACCGTGCCAGACGCTATACCAACTAAGACACGGAACGAACCAGCGGACCTCACGAATTTTTCTATGTGCTTGCGTCGTGTCTTTGTATTTGGTTTTTTCAACGACTTTTTAGTCGTAGCGCCATCTATGAGAAATCTATGAAAGATTTATCACCCAGTTAGTTACCAGTTACCAGTCCTGGCGAGAGATGTCGCTATTCACTGTATTTTAAATTATTATTGAATTGATATTCAATTATTTTTTGTGAAATTACTCCGCTACTTTGTTATAATTGTTAATACAAAATTCGAACACTCAGAAAAAATTCCTTCGATCCGGCCGGATTCGAACAAATTATAACAAACTAGTGGAGTAATTTCACAAAAAATAATTGAATATCAATTCAATAAAAATTTAAAGTACTCATAAGTTTTTTATTTAAAAAAACCGAATCCAAAAGTTTGTGGGATGTATCTATCTAGATGTATCTATTTGCTAAGTTTTATGAAAATCGGTTAAAGGGGAAGTGGATGAAATCCAATGAACCCGATTCATCCCCTAATTTCCCACCCATAGATGTAGCATATTTTCTTCAAAATTGAATGAGTACACTATTAAGGTACCACCCTTCCAACAAAAGTACAGTAATCCAACATATACAAACGAGTGAGAACATTCTCGTATTTTTAAAATCAGTTAAAAAGCATTACCTCACTAACAGCCCCGGAGCAAGCGACATTTTCCACGTCAATGGTGATGTTGTCACCGGTCATAAGGGTATAGGTGCAGTGTCCCATGAAGTCATATTTAAGGCCGTCGAAGGTGGTGTAATGTGGGTCGCCAATAGACGAACAACGAGCGCGGCAAGCTGTAGTCGAACACTTCCATTGGCCAGCTTCGCAGGTGCTGACAAAAATAGGTCCATGTTATTAAATCTAGTAAAAAAATAATAGATTCCGAAAAGAAATTAATTAACAGCGAACTAAGGTAATTGAGGCTATCAGCGCAAAAGTGTAACCCCATAAATTGCAATTTTTTATTTTATTTATGGTACAATAACAGACTTCAGACGAAAACAAAATAGAAAAAAAACATCCGAGTATATAACCAGAAATAGAGACGAAATATCATTTAATTTGTTTGAAAACATTTCTGCCGTATTATTACGGTGACAACTGCGCTCTGATTGACCAGCCCGATTTCGAAACATTGACGGGTGTCGTCAATTGTTTCACTTTAAATCGACCAGATAAGATACTTGAGCTTTGCTATAATAGACGAAAATTGAAAAATTACATATTAAATTCCCGATGAAATGTGATCCTGTTTGTTTTGTAATTAGATGTTTTGCTGTTTTCCCCCACCTCCGAATGAAATAGGCCTCCATTGTTAGAGATATTATCTTTATTAAAATAAATACAGAATATTTTTGGAATATACGGAGACGTACACACAGGTCAGTTGTTGGTGCCGTACTGTTTCAGCTTTCTAATTTGTGATTTCAACGCAAACGAGAGTTGATATTTAAAAGAGATTAGCACCAAATGGGCCAATGCTCTTTGCTTATTTCGTCACTACTTCTGGTTATATACTCGATGAGAAAAAAATACTTAAACATTTTTACAATAGTCATATCTGTGCCCAATTGTAACCGTGCTCAACATTCAAAAGTAGATATACTCAAACGAACGCTAAATTAATTAGTAATAATTATTATAAGAAAAAAGAACAAAAAGAATACATTATTCACCTACACCGCGATTAAAAATGTCGCCTTTTAAAAAGGGGTACCGAATAATCTTTGATTACGCACAGACCGAGTCGGAATTCTGAACAGCAACATTTCTAGTAAGCCATCGTCAAACAGTTCATTGGCAATTTTATGTAGTGTACTCAAATCACTCATCATACTGTTGTTTTTTGTGTACTATTTATAAGTATAATTTGTTGTTGTAATTTTGATACAAAGATCGAACAAAATAAAAAAAAACCTTCTTCGATCCAGGTTGACTTGAACTCAGATTTAAATATTTTTTTTATTTCACTTTTTTTGTTTCTGTATTCAATGTTTGAAAAATATGTATTTTGCACGTCAAATAAAGCTATTTTTTTTTATTATTTATTTGTAAGTAGTAACAGTTGTAACTAGTAGAATTACATATAATTACCAAGTTTAATTGAAATCGGTTACCGGAAAGTGCGGGAATCCGGATTCATCCACTAGTTCGCCACTATACGGGACTTGAGGCAGGAGATAATAAAAATTGGTTCTCACTACTCAAAGTGCATTGAGAGGAAAACGCCTTGAATTAAAGAATAACAAAATCAACCATTAAAATAATTGCTCATTACACTAAAATTTAGGCGTTATTTATAAAAATTAATCTTCATGCGTGAACAGCCCTTAGAGGTGGATGATTTTGTTCAAAATTCAATGGGACCACAATGGAGGTACCATCTTTCCAATAAAAAAAGAATCATGAAAATTAGTTCACAAATACCGGAATTATCGCGTAACATACATCACAAAAAAAACATACAGTCGAATTGAGAACCTCCTCCTTTTTTTGAAGTCGGTTAAAAATTAGAGTTCGTCCAGGGAAGACTGCGACCTTATTTTACCTATTTCTGCCGCCAAGCAGTAATGCCAGCATTACTGTGTTCCTGTTCAGGGTGATTAAAATCAAGGCGAATGGTGGTTATTCCACTTATTATAAATCGATTTTTAATAGAATAAGAATTTACCATTCATTACAATCTTGACGAACTTTCTCTCCAGGTTTAAAACTTTTGTTCCTCAAGCGACAATGGCACTCTTCTTTGCTGACACACCGAGACTCCTCTAGCAGTAAGCCTTCGGGGCAGTAGCAGCCCTCCACACAGATTGATCCTTCAGGCTTTGTAGATGCCAGGGGGGACGCACAGCTTGGCTGAGATTCTGTACCGCATTTGTACACTTTGCTGTCGGGGCACACCACCGCTGTGGAACGTTTATTATTTAGTAGTGGTCGGATATTCGAACGCTTTCGTACCTAAATTTCACTTGCTCCAGTGAATTGTCCTCCTTTTTAGAAGTCGGTTATAAAAATAAATATACTTTGTTTTGTATTAGGCCAAATATTTGGTATATAAATATTGTAAGGGCAGAATAGCGACTCTGTCCTTACAGGAGGTTACCTCGTAATCGCGACGCGGTAACCGTTATCACGAGGGTGTGAGGGAGTAGTTGATGGAGTGAAAGAATTTTATAAGTGTAAAAGTAATGTTGTAAATAAAAACTTAAATTAAGTATTGTTAACGTTTTAAATATGTTAATGTGTAATGTGTATACGAAGCGAGGGAGGGTGAAGAAAGACGCTTGGAGACTCCAAATATTCAACGGCTTTTATTGATGTAGTTTTATGATCGACTTCGGAGCGGCGGGCGTAGGGCCATTATTGCAAGGGATTATCCACGGCGGTGGAGGCTCGGTGCACTTGGACCTATCTTTAGGCCTAGAGCAGGCTGAGGTCCCCTACGCATTTAACGTAAAGGGGTTGCGTGCGGCAAATGCCGGCCGCGTGTCCGTATAATTGGTAATTGTGGCATTGCCCGGGTATGCCACATTTGCGTGGAAGCAGTTAGGCCGGTGAGCTGGCAACAGGTAGAAAGGTTGAAGACATTTTTACCTTCGGATGTACGGGAGAGGACGGCGAGTACCGTGTCATATGATTCGCGGGAACGGCTTTTGAACATGCGGTGGACCTCATATACGTGGTGTTACAAAAGAAAAATCGCACTGCTATTACAATAGTGCTGTAACTCAAAATATGTGAAATTTAATATTATATCATTACTGAACATAAAATTTGATTCTCTTCACGTCAAAAAAACCGTCGTTAGAATATTGTAAGAAACAATCAAAAGATATCTACTTAACTCAAAATGACACACACTTTATGTGAGCTAGCTGTGGCCAAAATAATCCTTATTCAAAAACATGAAATTGTTTTTTTCCATTTTGTTGTTAAATATATTTGATAAATTGTTTAAGTGTCTATAATAAACATATAAATTTTAATAATATTTTTGCGGGAAGTGAGCAATTCGTTTTTATCGATCCTGAGAAAGTCCACTTTTTGAGTTTATACACTATTGTATTAACAGTGCGAAATATTAAATGTTAATGTTAAATGTTACTGATGTTTATTTTTCAGGTGTTGGTAACTAACCGTCTTAAAAATACAATAAATTCAATGCTGTACGTAACCACACAAATATTGAAGGTATATCACACATTCACTGACATGCACTGCGATAGACTAAACCGACCCCTCCTACGTAAAGTATCGTATGTCGAAATTGCCAAGTTTACAGGGAAGTGTTTTAAAGTTTTGAATCCACTGAAAGGAGCATAACAGGTGGCTTTAGCATTTTTCAGTTTTATTCGGCAAACGGTTACTCACACAGAGTATTCTAAAATCCTACATATCGGTTAGATGATCTATTAGATTAGCTTTGTCGTGTTATGCTCGTTTCAGTGAATTCAGAACTTTAAAATGCTTCCCTGTAAACTTGGCAATTTCGACATACGATACTTTACGTAGGAGGTGTCGAAACCAGGTATAACATGTTTTTTTTATTACACTATTTTTTTACTATTTAAAATGCCGAGTCAGGACAGAACACCAAACAACTATGAGACAAAATTAATTCCTACTTACGACAAGTGTCATCATCTCGCCAGGTGACCATTTCGTTTACGCCGTGCCTTAGACACTCACTAGCGTACAAGGATACAGTTTTACAAGCGCAATCTTCAGGATCTGTAACATAAAGTAGTAATTTATGTTCTCGTTAAAATTATTAGATTTTTCTTCATGAAGCCGTGGTAGTTTAATGGTTTGACCCACCACATCTCAAGCAAAGGTCGTGATTTCAAAACCAGACTCGCAAATCTGAGTTTTTCGGAATTCATATGCGAAATTTACCATGAGTATTTCGGTGAAGGGCATTATCGTGATGCAACCTGCACTTTGAAGAAGGTTCCCAACCCGCATTGAAACAGCGTGACGGACTATAGCCTAAATTCTCCCCTGAGAGGAGACCCGTACCCAGCAGTGTGACACAATGGGTTGGTGATGAGTCTCACAATTCATATTCCTACTTACCTGAAAGACAATCAGCGTAATCTAATTGACAGGTCTCCAGGAACATGGACGCGTCCACAAAGTTGGAGCACTTCCTGAACTTCTCCTTGTTAAGGAGCGTCGTGCAGAATTTTAGCGCTTCTTTTTTAACTTTAACCGACGTATTTCTTTCCGTGTAGTCATTTGTGCACACCTCTGAAAGTAGCACTTTAGTGAGACATATTTTAGGAATAAAAAATAAATTAAGCTATTTGCTGCACTCTTTTAGGGAAACTTTGTTTGGCGTCCGAAAATATTATTTTCTTACGTAATAAAAGTTCTATTGGTATTAGATGCAAATTTTTATTACTGTCATTTATGCACTTTTTGTTAATGTAATTTGATTATTGCCTTCACGTCAAGTAAGGTACATTCGTTTCCTATCATGTGTATCAAACGCATTCGCCTTATTTTGGAATTGTATTCAGTTTTGTAAACCGAATAAAAACTCATAAATTTGTCAAAAGTGCTTTTATCGCATGAAAGTCATTGACTTACAAATAAATGGACGACGGGTCTAATACAAAAACCACAAAAAAAATGTCCCAAGTCAACCTATTCGAAATTTAAATTGTAATGTCATCGCAGTATCGCGCTGTCCGTAGAACAAATGAAGACTAAAGCGGAGTGTCGCGCTCTGTATACGATTTTAGCGCCTTACAAGTGCGGACACTTTTTAGCGCGGACCCGACGTCCATATAATTGTAAGTCAATGATGAAAGTACAAAAATAACAGGAACTACATGAAACATAGATACGTCAAACTTAGACATGGGCGTTATGTCGAACTCATATAATATACGTACTATTGGATAATTTTCGGAAAAATTTCAAATGGTGGAATTTTTTTCGTAAAAATTCCCGAAAAATTGGAAAAACATAATTTTGAGGACTCTTATTATGTTCTACGTTTAGAAACATCTTTAGAAGTTTTATTTAGCATGAATTATAAAATCACGGACTTGTATGTTAAACTCGACCGCGAACTAAGTTCATAAAACGAACCTAGTGAGAGGCTTCTATGGATGACCAACACTAGTAATATTATTTCATAATACAAATTAGTATACTTCTTTGATATGCTACTTCATAATGGAAGGTTTCATTGTTGATATATGATTAGAGTAAAAACTTAATACCTTTAAGCTAATTTTATTTAACCAAAATTTAAAAAAGTTAATAGACATATAGATAGGTAATGTCTAACCTAAGATGATTTTATTTAGCGTTAGCAACTCGTTAAAGAAGGACTGACCATTACTTCGAGCTATCTCACGTGTATCGGTTTTTAACCTTTACTTAACATTGACCTTAACATAACCCAATAAGGTGTAGTAATATTGGTATATCGAAGTGCGGATCCAGTTTATGAAATATATAAATCCGTGCATAAAATAAACTTGTATAGCTAAAAGCTACTTAAAGAATAACGAGATTGAAGAGGATTTCACGGGCGAAATAACCTTTTTATTGGCTCCATCGTTTTCGTTCAGTAACTTCAGCTTTGTCATGGACTGCAGCGCAGTTTACAACGCAATAAAGGAAATAAATATGTCTATTTTATGATGAAAGTTAATATTTGGAATTGATTTATATAATCAGCAATACAATCACTACTTCACTTGCACTCGGCCCCCACAGAATATTTTCCGACTCGCTGCTTTAATTGTGAATTATCATTAGACTGTTCAGCGAGAAATGGAAATCTAACCAGTCCCAAAAGAGAAATGGAAATCTTTGGCTAAACTCATTCACTAAGACGATGATTCTCAAAGTGGTTTACTGTTGCCCAGAATGCGTCTAACGTACACGGAATATGGATAGTACGTCTTACGGGGGACCATACTCCGCTTGGCAATTTTTTTTGACCACTTAAGCAGGTCGTGATCAAAACTTTTTCCAAAAAAATATATTCGGTTAGATTTTTTTAATAAAGTTTCTCACTCTATAGTCCACATATCGAATTGAGTAGAACTGCGTCAGCTCTCAAAACACCTTTGAAGTTTGTAAAAAAAAATCCTTATCTAAAAAAAGGCAGGGGCCTACGCAGAACTGAAAATATTGGCCAAGTGGTCTACAAGACAAAAACTTTGGGAGCCTCTGTCCTAAGAGATGCCAAGCAGTACGTTGTGTACGGGAGGCCACAGAGGAAAACAAGTCGATATTTACCGCCAATCTCGTTAAATTGCCACGACGAAGCAAACACGTTTGGAGTAGTCGTGAAGTCGTCATTCGGGTCGCCATTCAACGTGCCGCACAGACCTTCCGTCGTGTTCCATTGTCGCGCTGTTACGCTTACTGTTACGAAGTTCTAGAAAGAAAATTAATTTGTTTAAATTCTTGCGGATGGGTGGCCTACCAGTAAAACAATTACTTTGTTCGTAATGATTGACTGCTTTTTCCTAATCTACCCTTAACTCAGACGCCGCATAGACTATCGAGCCTGTTTTGAACGAGTCTCCACGGAGTAATAAACTAGTCGAAGTGAGTCGTTATCCGAGTAGATAACAAGCGGACCAAAAGTTGATGTTTAAAATAGGATTCCCAGATTTAAATCAGTTACACAAGAAGTTTGGCTTAGGAGTTCCGTTATTTAACACTAGATGGCACCATTATTCAATTGCACAAAAAGTTCATACATAGAATTAATAATTAGTAATAACAAACCTGGTTTTACATATTTATTCCTCATGTTATAAATAAAATACAAAACCTAAATAAATCCAAGCAGAAAACCTAAAATGTCGCGCTCAAGATTATAAAACTTACAAATCCACAGTTTTAAAAATCACTTTCCTTATAATAATATTTCGAGCCGCACATAAAAGCTTGGCGGGCCACGGGTTGATTTTGATGATTGAATATATATTTATATTATAGTAAGTAAATGTAATAACTCATTCCTAGCACATAATAAATAGTATCCTATGTGATTAGATAGCATTATATAGTATAGAATATTGGCGACAAGTAGATGGCGCTATTTACAATTGTAAAATTGCAATATTAGTTTAATTCAAAGGAAAGGTTGACGAAATAACAAACCAAATGTAAATTTGTTTTATTGTAGATAGTTAAAATAATTATTCACACGAAGTAAATTATTGCAATGTCTAATTTTCAGTATTTTGAATGTAAAGAGTATTCATTTTGATTTATTTTGTGACCAATCAACCACCAGCTGTTTCCATCACATCCTACCCCGCTAATAAAAAGTAGAGTCGAAGGTATGGTCGGTACTCAGTCTGTTCATAAATCCGAAAGGCAATAGGAGTAAATCACTTACATAAAGTGCTGTACAACCTTGTTAAATTAAGAATCTGTGGTCAGTTACTTAAAAACATAGCGATATTTCCGATCAACTTAGTATTATTTTACGTCCACGAAAAGCGCTACAACAATATAGACTCTAAGTCTAAATAAAAGCAGCTGATTAATTGTATCTACAGTCACTTATATCTATAGTGGCATGACAGCCCACGTACGCCTTCGGTGTTGCCTGGTTATCGACTTCAAGACAGAATGAGTAGCCTCGAATTTATTATAATTAACTTTATCTTCGATCGAAAAAATTAAGATTGAGATTATTCAAGTTTACAATAATTGTGAAAATAAACAGATACCGCGAGAGCATTCCAGCGCACGGCAACCCCTTGCGCGTCAAAGTCAATGTTGATGAAACCGCCAGACTTCGAGACCCTGATGCCGGGCAGCGACGCCGGGATGGGGATCGCGCCACGCCTGCTGCGGAACGCCACGGACCCGTCATCTGATGATACCAAGGAAACATATTTATAAATAAATATATAGATAAATATTAAGCCAACTTTAGATTCATCTTCACCTGGTACTTTGTAAAATACAATATCCGTGCAGTATTAAAGTATAACTGAAAAACTTGAAAAAAATAAAAATCAAACTTTAGTTAATTGTTCATTGGCTATGTTGAAAATTTTGCAATCATTCGATAATTTTTGAATTTCCCTTTCACTTCACTTTTTATTTTTATGGCTTCATTATGAGAAGTGATGATTTTGCCAATGTCACGGTTGAAAGAAAAAAAAACGAAACAAAAAAAAAATCGCTAAGCTCTAATAGGACATTAACCGGTATAAAAATAGTTATTTTTATTTATTTATTTGCAAACAATGCAGGTACAAAAATTACATAAGTAATAAGTACATACATACCCCTTTGGGATGCAGCAATTAATTATTATTAAACGTAATATTAAAATTGTAAAAATAAAAATAATAATAATGACATTTAGAAACTAATACATATAGGATCTTAAAATTATCATTAATAAACTTTAGATCATAGTATTACATAGACTTAAAATTACTTATCTAAGACTGGACTCTTTTAGCTTATAGGAGAGTTCATGAAGTCTCCCACATTGTAATAACATTTACTTAACAAGAGAGACCTCAACTTGGTTTTAAACACGTTGTCACTATCTACTTTCTTGAGGATGTCTGGTTATTTGTTATGCAAGGCTGCAAAATTGTTGATTAACGCGAGTGCTTGTATTGAAACCTGAGCAAGCGAAGGATACTAAGATTAGATTAGACATTGGAAGGAAGAAAAACAGATTCCTGAGCGTATCGAGGATTTCAAGTCACGACACGCAAAACAACTTTGCTGCCGAGCGAAACTCAAAACTTTTCACCTCACTATAGTGAGGAAAATGTTAGATAAAAGAAAAACAGTTGAACTATAACAAAACAATTTAATAAACCAATTTAGTTATCGTTGTCAAATCAATGTCGACAATAATAAGAATAAAAAAAACCATCGGATTTATATTACACAAATAATGTACGACAAATGGCGTAGTTGAACGTGTCATTATGTTTTTTTTTTATTGAAAGAAAAAGTAAGGTGCACCACAGTCCATCGATAAGTTCGAATGTCAAAAACCTTTTCCACGCTAGCGTGCAAAAAACGCTTTTGCGCGCAAATTTCTAATGAGAAAGAAAGCCTTTCCAATTTTTTTTAATTACCGCGTCACGCGCGTTTTTCACTAATTGTGATGCTGCAACTGCGCTTCTAAATATTGTATGTAAATTAGTATAGTCCATTTGTTTGTAATGTAAACAATTTTGATATATCTTTGTATTGAACTTATACTTTACAAATCAATTGGTATAAAAAAAAGGCATGCAATTTCATATGAAGCTAAGTATTTGTATTTTGTATTTGAAGGTGAGTAAAAATCATTTTATAAATGTATATTTCATCCAATACACGTCTCAAGATTGTTTACATTTTTTAGTTAAGTACTTAAACAAAGGGACTAGTGCTTCTATAAGCGACTAATTCGAAGGCGCCTTTAGTCTCGTTTGATGGTATGATGGAATGATGGTAATTTCGTTATCAACATCGTGGCCACTCAAAGAATTTTGTAAAGACCGAAACAAGTACTTGACACAAAATACCATATGTGCGATTGTCTTCCATGGTAACTTTACCGCAATCTCAAACCTGGTTACCTATCTGTAGTCCGAAATGACATTTTCCAGAAATAACGTTCATTCGAATTTTCATAACTTCGAAAGTAAATTATAAGAGGAAAATGTTTTTATTTTAAACCTAACTTAACCTAACCTAACCGAACCTTATCGTGTCTTTCCGACAAACATCCAACATATCTTGAAAGAATAACGGCTTCGTTATAATTCGGTTTTCGGTGTAACGAAAATTCGAGTTTGTGATAACCCTCAAACCTGCATATAAGTGTTTTTTTTTTAATTTATTTTATAAATTGGTTAGTAATAAGAGAATTCTTATGTCTTTACTGCCTCCGTGAGCGAATGGTTACCATGCCGGACTGCCACGCAGAGGTCGCAGGTTCGATTCCCGGGCCGGTAGAAATATTTTTATGGCCTATATTTATTTCTCTCGTAAGTTTGGGTGTAATTTGTGGATGTCTATGTGTGTGTCCATGGCACCCGCGACACAGGGTTTCCCTAGTGTGGAACTATGTTGAGTGTGTGCGTTATTATTATTATCGTTGTTAGTGTACCTACGTCTTAATAAATTAGTGCCTGAACAGAACAGGAAAAGGTAATTCCTATTGTAATGAAGGATGTTTCACCACTACGACATTTAATAATGTTTTTGTGAAATTACTTCAATAGTTTGTTATTATTACTAATACAAAGATCAAATACTTAGAAAAAATCCCTTCGATCTGGCTGGATTCGAACCAACGTCTTCTAGCAAACCGTGTCAGACGCTACGCCGACTAAGCCACTGAACTAACCAGCGAATTTTTCTGGTGCTTGTTGCTGATTATTGTATTGGTTTTTAACGACTTTTTTTGTGAAAAAGTTAATTTCTGCTGATTAGTACTTGGGCAAAATGGCGCATGCATGGCGAGTCATACCTTGCCGCCACAGTCATCAAAATAGAGCTGAGACTGGCCCGTGGCCTGCAGAGGCAGTTGTTTTGGGCATTTATGGCAAATGATTTTTTTTTTCAGAAGTCTATAACTAACATAGATGATTTTTTATATATGTATTCTTTATTGCACCAAAAATACATCAGAAAACTTAATTATAGAAAAAGTGAGCAAAGGCGGACTTATCCTTAAAAGAGATCTCTTACAGCCAACCCAAGGCAGTGAGAACAAAGGTAGATTTTATGATCGTATCTCACCGCCAACTTTGAATGCGTAGCGTATGTCCTCCAAAAAGACGATCAACTTGGCGCCGGGGCAATGGACTTTTTCTGGACAGACACCCCGCTGCACTATTACGCTGTACGTACGGTCTCTTGCGTCGCGGACCAGTATATGTGGGCATGTGGAATGGTAGCTGCAAAAATACGTTAAGAACCAAGTCACAAGAATAAATATAACTTTCAGTGCCATTATGAATATTTGGTTGTAACATGCGAAGTTGCTATGCTTGTGTTAGTATTGGGTTGGCCAAAAAGTATGTGCGATATCAAAGTACAAATGAAAAACTAAAACAAAAATAAATATTAAATTTTTAAGTTTATTAAATGCATCGAGTATATAACCAGAAATAGACACGAAACAAGGGCCATCCTTCCCTGGTAGCTCATCAGGCAAATGGGCCTTATGTTACTTATAAATATCAACTCTCATTTGCGCTGAAATCACACATTAGAAAACAGAAATAGTACACCGCGAACAACTGACCTGGGTGTACGTCTCCGTATATTCCAAAAATATTCTGTATTTATTGTAATAAAGATAATATCTCTAACTCTGGGGGGCTGTTCCATTCGGTGGTATGGGAAAAACAGCAAAATATCTAATTACAAAACAAACGGAATGACATTTCATCGGTAATTAAATATTAAATATACAATGCTCAAGTTAAAGTGGTACATTTGAAGTGAAATAATTGACGACACCTGTCAATAGTTTCGAATTTGGGCTGGCCAATCGAGGCGCAGTTGTCACCGTAATGATTTGGCAGAATAGTTTAGTAAATGACATTTCGTCTCTATTTCTGGTTATATACTCGATGATTAAATGTCACGATGTTTGACCACAATGATATTCAATGATACGGGTCAAAAGTAAGACAAACCACATTTTACCTGTAATAGCGATTGTCAAAAGTATAAGAAGATACGCCAGGAGTAGCCATGCATTCTCCTCCTTTGGGTGTAACATTCTGCAAAAGCGTCATAGTGCCACTTCCGCCCGTCTGAGTTCCGCTTGAAGAGTTATAGTACGAGTATGAGGTTCCGGAATGGGAAAACTGAAAAATATTGTCAGATTTTTATTACTTCTTTTCGTAGACTGTTTAGATCTTCTATGACTATTCGACTGTTGTGAAAAGGTCTCTACCTACTGAAAGTACTCGTCTCTTGTTTTGCATTTTTGTCTGCCTTCTTTGCGAAGGAAATGAATGCAGAGTATACGTACAAGCGTATATTAGGTTTTAGTAATATACATGGTGACCCTAACTCTATTTACTTCGGAAGGGAACGGAAGTGATTTTTTTTAAATTGTACATAGCATAATGAACTTGATGACAATTTTGTGTATACGATAGGCAGAATAGATAAAACGTTTATTTGGGTCTACAGACTCTCATACATAACAGAATGTAATAAATGTAATTTACTAAAAAAAAAAAACAGCAGAGTTGCAGCACTGCCTAACATCCAGTAATGTATATGTGCTGTAGCAGTGCAAAAAAGCCATAGCTCAGCGTCAGTGTATACTCGGGAACAAACGGCTGATTTTCAGCTATAACCTAGAGGGTGCCGGAAATACGATAATCAGCTAGCTATCGAAAATAAATAAATACGAAAGGTAATAAAATATAAAAATATAATAAAAGATATTTTTTTAGTTTTTATTTACCTATGCATATTAATAATATTATTCAAATTATAAATTGAAATTTTATGTGAATAATATATAAAAGTCAAATTAATTATAAATAAGTAAATCCTGTTGCTATTACACGGTGTTATCTAGCCAATTTTCGCCACCTAAGCAAAGTACTGTGGCATACCCTTCTTTTGAGTGTCTAGACGAAGTGAAGAAGTGAAACGATACATTAGCTTCGGCAATTCCCGAGAGTGCGCGTGAATTCTCTGGAAGTCGCACCTTCTTTTTGGCTCGTATCTAGTTTGTACGTTACAGAATTGACAGAAAGTGCATTATTTTTTTTTTAGGATTTATAAGGGGTGATTTTAACCATACGAGCACCTTTTACTATACGAAACAACTCAGGTACTCCGTTTATTTGGGTCAGAAGGGTAGTCCATGCTGCTTTTATTGATAGGTAGAAATAATGTTAGGGACTCAAGACATTAAAAATCTTGCAGACCTTTCGGTTTCATGCTGCTTACATAGATTAAGTGCAAGATTATTCAAACATTCACTTACCGACGTAACATGATTGTGCGGCTGAATAACCACCTTTTCATAGTCTAAAAAAAGAAAGAAAAATAATGATAATATGATAATGGGCACTTTTTTTTTTGTTTTGCAGCGATAGGTGTCATGCTCTGTAACCACGCCCCCATGATATTACCCACTGTAACGTACTGCTGACATACCTGTGTTTTTACGAATGTACTACGATTAATTTAAAAGAAAAAGAAAACAATTGCTACGTAGAATTCTCTGTAACCACGCCAACTATTATTAATCAATGTAGATGCAATTTTAGCTATTTTCTAAATTTAGCGAATGTACCCTGGACATGTCTTATTCTTACATGACATAACTTATTCGTCCCGTTACATGGTATCATAAAAAAAAAATTACCGTAAACGCAGTTTGGTACAGGTTGTGGCTGGAACACGCCCGTATCATACGTGCAGGTGTAAACGTCGGCTAAAGTTGAGGTCGGCGTGGAACCAGGAGGGCACGTCAGGACGCAGTTGTAGCGTTCGCCGTCGCCCTTGCATTTGTACGCCCCGTTGAATACTAGCTTGCGCATGTCGCACACACTCGCCGCTGAAAAGCCATTGTTTAAATATTAGTAACAGAAAGCAGAAACCTAGTTAAAGATGAAGGTAGATGAGTGATGAATTATTAGCAATAAATTGAAACTACATTAAACATAAACATAAACATTTTTTTAACGCACACACTCAACATAGCCCCGCACTAGGGAAACCCTGTGTCGCGGGTGCCATGGACACATACATAGACAAACACAAATTACACCCAAACTCACGAGAGAAATAAATGTAGGCCATACAAATATTTCTCCCGGCCCGGGAATCGAACCTAGGACCTCTGCGTGGCAGTCCGGCATGGTAACCGTTCGGCCACGCAGGCAGTTAAACTAACATTAAACATTAAATTAATTATTAATACAAATATCGTACTGCATGGCTGTATTCGAACCAGCGTGTCTTAGCAAACCTTGCCAGACGCTATGCCAACTAAGCCACGGCAGGAACAATGGACTTCATAAATTTTTTCATGTGTTTGTTGCAGATCTTTGTTTTTTGGTTTTTAACGACTTTTTTGCCGTAGCGCCATCTGTGAGAAATCAATGAAAGCTTTTCTTCACTCAAAGAGGTACCTTTGCAGCTAACAGCAGCTGACTAGAGATGTCACTTTAATAAAGATTTAGTTCAAGCTTTTATCTAAAGTGTGTTGTATAAAGAGAAAGGCTTTTTTAATATTAATATTGCAAAGGAAAGTATACATGCTTGCAAATGTAATTTCCAAAATTTATTTTATTTAAAAAAATTTGTGCGCATTTGACTCCTTCTCACCTAATGGACAGTGATGATATGGTCGACGATATGCCTATTCGCTCTTGCCTTGAAAAGGCCTAGGTTATAGCGTTCAGGGAATAACTCTGCAGATATGGAATTCCACTCCATAGCCGATTACCAATAAATGTGGAAGCATAACGCTTCGTGCGTTTGTGATAGACAGCACCATGTAACACGATTTTTTTTTCTGGGTTATCAATATCATTTCCTAAATTGTTTCTATCATAAAAACTTTATTTTTCTTTGATTAATATACGATGTGAAAACCTGATACCTAAAAATTTTCACGATACAAAAAAAAACACAAACTTACCTCGAAATTTTTTTTTTTTAAATTACCACAATCAAAAATAACCACCTCTCAATAGCCACAAAAGCAATGTTTCAAGGCACTCTTTTGTACACATATACTTGCTGCTCAATTAAATAGGAACCAATCAACACTGTCAAACCACAAATAGAACCTTTTTGAATATTTGTTACAATAGTGTAGTCGTCGTTTATTATGTTCAAACTTACCATATTGACACTGCGGTCCTCTGTAATCCGTCGGGCACTGGCATGCATTGACTGACAAACAAAATCCACCATTCAAACACGGCGGATTGCACTCCGGCGAACAGTCGCTCAACGCATTCATGAGCGGGTCCGAGACAGACTGCCAGCTCCCTTCGATGCATTGCATGTTCAGAATAGATGAGCCATCGGGGAATTTGTGACCATCCTTGCATGATATTGTGCAGTAACTGTGGGGCGATATGATCACATAATATAGATTTTTTTTGTTCGCTTTATTTAGCGCAAACAATATCTTCTACGATAGAACGTCTTGGGAGTAGGCGCAGTGTGCTTAAAAAGTTTTTTTTTAAATGGGACAGTATGAGGAAATCCGAAACCATAGAACGTACCAGGAAACTGTCTTAAGAATCTCCAAAATTTTTTTTATTTTATATTACATTACATTTTGCTGACCCGATTTTTTTCGTCCGATACAATGAAGTCATCCTTATAAGAAACTGAGGGTCGTATTCTAGCACTCTACTTAATGCTCAAGTCAGGATTTGAGTATGGTTTAAAGCACTCGAAATCATACTCAAGTCCCTGCCATTAGGGTCGTATTTCCAGTGCTTGTGTTTCCATTGCAATCCCGAATTGTCCAGACCTTTAGCATTAAAAAAAATACTTAATTTTACTAACTTCGTATGAAAAATATTTTATAATTTTTGACCAACTTCTGCCGTCCCGATTGTTTCGTCGCGTGCAATGAAATGATCTCTTCATGAAACTAATTCGGTGAGCACTAAAAAAAATTGGATCAATTTTATTAATTTTTATTGACCCCTTGACCAAAAAATTTACAGTTTTCACAAAAAAGACTTACTTTTTCCTAAGACAGTTTCCTTGATATTCTATAGTTTCAGATATTCCAATACTGTACCATTTTAAAAAAAAAATTTAAAAAACACTATATAATAAGACATGTGGTGTAACACCCCATAATACATATAAACGTATGTGCCGCGTGCCGTATACGGACGCACAAATCCCAAAATTTGGCTGTGCTCTCGACTTGATAACATTCTAAATGATATTCATATATAGATACACGCAAAATAGGCGCTTTGTCGTCGAGTTGCGGATATCAGCCCGTTGCACCAAGTACCAAGTACCATATAGAAAATGATATTCTATTCTAAATCCCAACTACTACAATTCAAAATTGCTCGGAAATAGACATATCCAAACTAATATTATAAATGCAAAAGTAACTCTGTCTGTCTGTTACTTTTTGAACCAATTTTGATGAATTTTGTTATAGAGGTAGATGCTAATTCTTGTCATAAAAAAAAATTACGAGTGTGAAAGAGGGGACGAAAGTTTGTATGGAGAACTTGTCATTACTCAAATAAGGGATCTGAAAAATCATATTTACGCCTTTTGTAAAAAATAAACAATGTTACAGCGTTTTCGACAAATAATTTTGGTAAAATAAGAGATCATTTGAATATTTGTAATGAAACTATTTTCCCGGATTTAAATCGCGTATATTTGTTTTTTCAAACAAACCAAAACGTTTCGGGCACTTTACAGGGCCCAAGATCACGGCTGACTGAGTGACAGTCAAAAATAGTGACAAAAATAGTTTCATTTCCCATGTGTAACAATCGCAAAAACCTAAGAACTCGATATTGAATATTGTTTCTAAGCGGTCTACTCGAAGTACTTATTATAGTTATTACACGCAGACGAAGTGGCGTACACCAGCTAGCTTAGAATATTTCAAAAGAAAGTACATGGGTCTTTAAAATGGTAGGTGAACCTACATGATGTGGCAGGAATTTAATTTGACTCTAGTGTAGACGTATTATTATGAAAAAAAAAGAAACTCACTAATCAGAACATTTCAGAGCTGAGTTCATAGGAAGCGGCGGGTGGAAAGGGCAGGCTTTCTTCTCGAACTCGCAGATATTGCCATAAAAGTTTGATGGGCATTTGCACTTGTCCTTTCCTACGCAGATGCCGTTGTTTATACATTGCGGGTTGCAGTTCGCTAAACAAAAAAATTTTGTTAATTAAGCAACATTCTGCACGCTGCCGCCTCTGGTAACTTGGGATGCGTACAGATCGGGCGAATGCACCGCACGCGTGCTGCATGCGTGCATTTGTACATGTAACGTAACTCGAAAATTGGTGGAAATGAGGAAGCACGATTTGAAAGTTCAAAAAGATACTGAATGGGTTTTATTGTGAATAATGTGATTATTTCTATTTATACATAGTATTAGACCAACTGCTGTCCCAATATTTTCTTCTGATACAATGAAGTTATCCTCATAAGAAACTGAGTCTATATGAAATTTGACCAACTTTTGCTGTCCTAATTTTTTCGTCCTATAAATGGACGACGGGTCTAATACACAAACCACGAAAAAAATGTCCCAAGTCAACCTATTTAAACGTAGTGACATGTAAAGGAATATGAAAAAGCTAAAACGTTGAATTTAAATTGTAATGTCATCGCAGTACTGTCTAATTTTGCTTGCTTCGCTGTCAGTCGAACAAACGATGACTAAAGCGTGAATGACGCTCTGTATACGATTTTAACGCCCTATAAGTTCGGACACTTTTTAGCGCGGACCCGACGTCCATATAATTGTAAGTCAATTTTCCTATACAATAAAATGATCCTTCATAAAACTGAGTCGATCAGCAATAAAAAAAAAAAATTAATCAGTTTTATTAATTTTTATGGACTACTCGCACTTTACAGCAGTTTTGTTATCTATAAATTTATTGTTACCTCTTAAAGTAGGTCAACTAAAGCCACTCTATGAATGTTATATTAAACATATCGACTCATCCGAAGAACAAAGTGCGGTGTGATTATACAGCGAAAAGAGGTTAAAACATAATCTCATTATTCAAAAGGCCAATATAAAAGTTTTTTTTAGATTTTTTATGTATTTATTATTTGGTTTCGGAAATATAAAATCGAACAACAGTCGATCTTGACTGTGGATATCCGCAATCAAGAACAACGAACGAAATGTACAATGTAACGAGAATAAGCAGCATCTTGCACATAAGTCTCTGTTCTACGGATGAGTCGATATGGGAGCGTTTAATGTTAAAATTTTGGATATTTCTAGTTTTATTTTTAAAAAGTTACTGATGTCGACTTAGTCATTAAGTAAAATACTTTTATAGCCGTTTAAAGCTTTTTGATATATCTTATATATATGGAATAATCGCCTGGGCACACTTAACCATTACACCTTGTACATTACTCTTATTTAAGCATAAAAAAGTCACCGACTAATTTCGTTCAGAGCATTTTCAGACCTCTGTTCTGAAAAGCTGTCATTTTGCAGATAATGGCTTTATTAAACTAAGGGTGTGAACTTATTATTTTAGTTGTATAGGTACACAAGTGGCAATTTATTTAAGAAATGTACAGACATGTCCTTTGTCGACTCAAACATATAATTGTAGTTAGCAAACAATATAATATCTTCTTCAATCCCTACAGAGGTATTATAAACAAAACACGACAATACATTGCATTATCAATGACATTGATACTAAATAGGACGCTATAAATATATTTTATGAATAAAATAAGATAAATACTCGAATAGTTTATGTAGGTACACAGATTAGCTGCTTCCTAAGCCCACGCGGTTGATAAACGTTACCTACCTACAGTATATTTAAGTTCAGTTTTGTTTTTGAACATTATAAAGTCTAATGTTTTCTTTTTGTATCCTGGAAATAGTGATAATGAGTTATGTTTACGCGAGTCTTTTAATCAATATAATTCCTAAACTGAACCCTACTGGGAATCATTATTTATGTAAAATTGGTCAAGGTCATGTAGCGTCATTTCAGAGAACTGAAAAATGCTTACATGGCAGCGTGTTGTTTACAACAAGTTTGTTGTAGGTTTGATTTCGCAAATTTAAAAATAAAATATATTTTCTAAAGCTGCTTTTGATTATTACTATGATCACCAACTGTACAAAATGACACCTCCAATGAACATTACGTCAACTGAATTTTTGACCCTGTTCTGTTTTTATTTTGGTTTTTGCTTTTTTTTTCCACAAAATTCGTTTTTATTTGTTCTTTTTTCCAATTTTATTTTTTTTCACAAAATACGGGGAGCACAACATTAGTAAATGTTTAGAGCATAACATTAGTAAATGTTTAGAACATTTACTAATGTTATGCTCCCCGTGTTTTGTGAAAAAAAATAAAGAAACAAAAAATAAAATTGGAAAAAAGAACAAATAAAAACGAATTTTGTGAAAAAAAAGCAAAAACCAAAATAACAGAAAATGATCAAAAAATGAAGATGGCATTGATAGTATCGAAATATAAATTTGTTAACAACGAAATTATCTAACAACTCGACAGTTCAATCGAAGGAATTGTTTCTGAGTGTTCGATCTTTGTATTAATAATTATAACAAACTCGACAGTGTTAAGAAACTCGACAGTGTTAATAATAATGCGTCAAACAACCACAAAAATTGCCTGGTCTCAAACTCGGGAATTCCCTGTACTATGAGTACCAGAGCTACGGACTTCATTCTGGGGGAAGTCCCAGAACACCCAGACCAGAACCAATTTAAAAGTTCCTTTCCTAAATTGGTCCTACCGAGAATTGAACCCGGGACCTTATCATCCTGTGCCATAGTGTAAACCACAAGGCTACCGAGGACCCCGCCGACTATTATATATATTTCAATTATACATTAACTTATAGAAGTTAAAAAGTAACTTACCAAACGACGCCTCGGGGAGAAATGGCCTGAAATAAATAATAAAGTGAAAAACATATTGATATTCATCAATTTGATGATTAAACTGGAGCGTGCCCAAAGGGCTGTTCTCAAAGTTTCTTTTCTACCTTTGTTATTTCCGACTGACGATTTTTTATTTATTTATTAAGGCTTTGGCAAAGCCATCAGCCTAAACATGAAGTTTAATTATGTTTCTGTAAATATGGCCGCCACAAGAGGATAGGCAATTTGAGGTAGCGTGGTTGGATTGACTCGGGATTCCTTAAAACGGGTCGATACGGGTATTTTAATTCCAGATTCGTATAATTTCGCGTTTTAATCTTCAATTAAGGCACAATAGCACTATCCTATTTCACTTTAAACTAGATTTCACAAAATAATTGAAAGTCAAAATAAAAACGACACTTTTCCCTCCAAAAGGTCCAGAGCGAATCCCGACCGATGAGCTCTACAAATTGAAGCATTGGGAACAACAAGGGCGTTGCGCACCCAAAGCCCGTTTTGATGTTATTGCATCAAAACATGTATAACACTATTTAGTGTATAATTTTTCTTTTTTGTTTTTTTTTGATTTGATTGCATTGATGCAGTCGCCTATAAATCCCAAGGGTAGCGATGCAATCGCGCGTTTGTATCAATGCAAGCGCGCGATTGCATTGCTGCTTAAAATCACGCGCGTGTGTAAAGGTAGACGATTAGGGACTGCATCGCTACTGCATCGCGTTTGCATCGCCGCTAAAAATCACCGTGTGTAACCGTTCTTATATGTATAATCCTTTTTTTAATTGATTTAATCGCATAAACAATTTTTCTTGTTCGACCGGTGAGAGTCTGGTAGCCCGTAAGACAGGCTTTTCAAATCTATCACGGTCGCCAGTCACTCACTTAAGTAGATTGATAAAAAATATATAGTTAATGCATTGACTTACAAATAAATGGACGACGGGTCTAATACAAAAACCACGAAAAAAATGTCCCAAGTCAACCTATTCGAAATTTAAATTGTAATGTCATCGCAGTATCGCGCTGTCAGTAGAACAAATTTTAGCGCGGACCCGACGTCCATATAATTGTAAGTCAATGGGTTAATGGAAATAATATCACTTAATATTTTCCAGTGATTACCATACATTATTCGCCTAGACGTCCTTCTACTTAGTTGCTTGGAATAATTTAGATAAGAATTTTTTTTTTCGTTTTTATAACTTTTGTATCGTATAATATAATCTTGGATTATAATATAATATTATGTATGCTATATAATTTAGATAACTGAGGTATATACAAACGATTAATTTTAAATGAGGTTTTGTCAATTATTATACTTCAGTTTACTGTGGGTTCAAATCCGGTTTGGCACCTCGGAGTGTCTCGGAATTATATGAGAAATTTAATTTGGAATTTACCGTGAGCTTTTCGGTAAAGGAAAACATGGCGATGAAACGATGAAGGTTCGCAACCCTTGAAGAACGTATGAAGTCCCCAGCCTGAGAGGAGACCCGTAACCAGTAGTGGGATATGATATTATACTTCCACTAGTTTGTATTGTTTATTATTGATATAAAGATCGAACAAATAAAAATTCCTTAGACCCGAATAGACTCGAATCAGCAACAAGTCATTACAAAAGTCGTAAAATTTTTCTTTGCGTTAGCTTGTTCGACCTATGTATCAATAATAATTTATGAATATCATGATAGTAAGAACATTAAAAAAATTGGAAATTTTGTCTAATTAAAATGGAGTATAAAACTTGTACTTACTCTATTCCATTACCCGGGCTTTGACTGTAGCTGGTGTAGGTATCACCACCGTACCCGTTCCCGGTGTATCCGGTTTTAGTACCGGTGTACCCGGTTTTAGTACCGGCGTACCCGGTTTTAGTACCCGTATACCGGGTTTTAGTACCCGTATACCCGGTTTTAGTACCCGTATACCCGGTTTTAGTACCGGTATATCCTGTATACCCATTTTGTTGCCTAAAGGTGTTAGAGTTTGTGCCAGAATAACTGTTAACCTGATGATTTTGCGCGTAGGCTGGAACATACGAAGGGGCTTGTACATCGGATTGTCTGAAAATAAAAAAAAACACAAAAAAATAAAATTTAATTTCAATATTTTAACTGCTCTCCACAATTAAAATAGATGTTACAATCATTTTAAGTATTAAGTTAAGATATTTCTAATTTATTTTTATTTTTACGAATATATTTACGGTTATTATTATCGGTTTTCTAACAAAGTTACAAATTTCTATGATGTAAATAGAAGGTAAAGTGGATATTTTGTTTTTCAATATAAGGTTTGCTGGTGGTCAGTACTTTCATTATTAACTAAGATCCTTTTTTTCTGTACGGTAAACAGGCTATGCATTTGTTATGTTTACCTATTATAACACCGTAGCGTGTGAACATAGAGAATACATCTACTAGACAATGCAAACATAGTGCGTACAAAGAACTAAGTATTCCGATTTACTTATAAACTAAATATTAGTGCCAGTATTTATTAGATTATGAACACATGAACATTATGTGTCTTACCTATAGGAAATGAAACTATTTTTCCGGATTTAAATCGCGTATGTTTGTTTTTCTTTTTCGAATAAATCAACGTTTCGGGCTCTTAACAGGTCTCATGATCACGGTTGACTAAAGAACCGAAGTGTCTTACTTACCTCTAATCAAGTTCAAAACTAAAAGTTCAAAAGTTCAAAAGTTCAATTGGAAAAGCGCTAATAATAAATTTATATGAAAAATGTATTTTCATACAAATTTATTATTGCACCAGTCGCACGACTTGCTCATCCTGTCACTTGATATTAAATATAAAAAAGTACATTTTCTTGTACCCGGGGCCTTAGGAGAATAATTTTGGTACTTTTATTTAGGAAATTGTGTTAAATTAAAATTGCTTATTACGGCTCTATCTTTACGAATATTCATTTATTTATCTAATTATAATTTGAAATGGCAGTGTGGTCTGTGGGCAGGTAGATTATTAGTTCAGAAACAAACTAAAATTATTATTACATCATCCTTTTTATCTGACTGCAGGAGAGTATAAATTTACATCACTTCATTTGCATCTAGTAAAAAAAATACAATTAAACACTTTTTAAATAATTTCTCACAACTATATTATATTATATATTGTATTAGATTACATTATAATATAGTAACAGTAGAGCTCCTTGTGAAAGAGTTCATCCAGGATACTACAGCTACCTTACCTATTTCTGTCGCCAAGCAGTAACGTCAGCACTACTGTATTCCGGTTTTGAAGGATGCTAGTGAAATTACAGGCATATGGGACTTGTCAACATTTCTCAGGGTGACAAACGCAGCAGCAGCAGTGGGCAGTGCACCTCAGATCTTTGCGATTTAAAGCTCTGAGTGGCACTGCAACTGTTATGGATAAGCGTGTAGCTGACCACCAGTCAACACAAACGAGGCGTAAAGAGGCATATTGTAGGCAGGCAGGGTGGAGGTGGCTAGTGCAGTGAGGATTTCATCGCTGCACTAGGTTCCTTCGCGTTTGGATACCACTTTCCACTTAACATCAGGTGGAGTGGAGTCATTTGCCAGTCATGTATAAAAAAAAAAAGTCGCACGACTTGTTCGTCCCGTCATTTAATATTATAAAAAAAAAACCATCCCATATATGTTAGTCCGTAAGGTAGGTATATATTATATGGGCCATGTTGCCTGAATTAAATAAATAAGTAAACATCCATTTTGATTTTATGGGAAATGTCATTGACTTACAAATAAATGGACGACGGGTCTAATACAAAAACCACGAAAAAAATGTCCCAAGTCAACCTATTCGAAATTTAAATTGTAATATCATCGCAGTATCGCGCTGTCAGTCGAACAAATGAAGACTAAAGCGAAGTTTGGCGCTCTGTATACGATTTTAGCGCCTTACAAGTGCGGACACTTTTTAGCGCGGACCCGACGTCCATATAATTGTAAGTCAATGGGAAATGTACCAAATTACAATCTATGTTGACAAACGGTATTTTCATACATTCCTTATTAAGCCTAATTTTCTATCTAAATATTCATATCTAATTATCCATATACTTCTTTTCAATCAATCCTAATCCTAACGGATATTGTTGTGATTAAAATAAGTGTGTATTTGACCTCCATCTCACCTGATGACAAGTGAAGTAAGTCGACGATTGAACATGCATACCTAAATAACACCTATTCAATCTCGCCTAGTTTTAGCCAAATTTTAGCGTTCAGGTAATAAGTCTGCAGGCAAGGAATTCCACTCCATAGTCGTTCGCCACATATAAATGTGGAAGCTTAAAGCTTTGGTTGAATCTTTGAAATGTGCACAACAATAGGGAGGAACCTCGACGTAGACGTAGGTCTAGGCGTATTCCAACGCACACTCTTGGTGATAATGATATCCTGTAGAATAATGATAAGCAGGCAACTTTACGGCGGTGTTCAAGGCTTTGCAGCTTCACTTCTACTAAATTCGAGTCAACTATATGCTTCTCGTTGTTAAACTGCAAATTCTAAATTTCTGCAATCCAACATATACCTAATTATAATTATAAACTTGTCCATTAAAATCTTTCGTTAAATCAGTTTATCCATTTACTACACGTACTATCCCAAAAATATGAAATGTTACTAACCAAGTTATTCTCAATAATAAAATCAGAATCGTCACGCTTGAAGGTATTTGTAACGTGTATCTGAAGAAAAGAGAATCAAGCAAAAGAAAAAGCTATAAGTACTAACTTTACGAAATAGCCGTTCATCTAACCAGTGCAAACCGCGTATGTAGCACTGGTAAAAAGCGCCTATCTACACAAAAAGTTTTACAGGACAGGGTTTTAACGTTATTTTATTATTATACATACGCGGCTTTGCACTATCCCACACAAAATGCCAATGCTACTTCTTTGAGGAAAAACCCAAAAAAAAAATTATTGCAGTACTAATTAACATGTTTTAATTTCTAATTTCCATTATTAATTAATAATAAATTGAAGTTGTCAAAATTCATAATTAATTCATAAGTAGGTGGGAAAGTTTTTTGGAAAATTGTTGTAGTGAAAAATAAAGGTAGTTTGCAGTAATATTAGACTTAACTGGAACTGTAAAGGGCCGGACACTTTGGTTTGTTTCAAAAAAGAAATATAGGCTATATTTAGGAAAAAGTAGTTTCGATTCCTAATATACAAGTTAATTTCTCAAATTCTTACAACCTCCAGGACCATATTGCTGACATCACATACAACAAGTTTTGTTCCATAACTTTAAATAATTTATCAGAATTTATTTTCGTATAAAAATAAAAATATTAAGATTTCAAGCCCCTGAGGCAGCTTTCCCAGTTCCTGAGACCCGTGAAATGTAACATCCCCTTACAAGATGCAGGAGTTTACAAGCTTGACTGCGAGTGCGGTCTCTCTTATATTGGACAAACGAAGCGAACATATAGCTGATGTCAAACACCGTCGCGTAAACAACTCTGCAGTCTGTGAGCATGTCATGGATAAATCTACACATTCAATCAAGTTTGACAAACCCCGAAACCTTGCAAAAGAAGTTCGTTATCTAATCAGGATACTGCGAGAAGCCGTTGAAATTAACTACATCCTAATTTCAATAGGGAAGATGGTTAATCCGTACCATCAGCTTGAGATCCAGTATTTCCTCTGATGAAAAATCCCGAACAGACATAAGACTGCAGTACTGATTAATATATTTTAATTTATTCTAATTTCCATTATCAATTAATAAATAAAAACTGACTTTACCACCTCAGTCAACCGTAACTGTGGAACCTGTAAAGGGCCCGAAACGTTAGTTTGTTTGAAAAAAACAAATATACGCGATTTAAATCCGGGAAAATAGTTTATTATATTTATTATTTGTAATACTAACCCTATTTATAAAGGGAATTTGAATGTGAAAAAAAAGGCTTGGAACAAAAATTGTCGTTTATGATGTTAGTAGATAATACGGTCCTACGAGGATTTTATTATTTTACAAATACTTTTTTAATATATATAATTAATTTGTACTTACTCTATTCCAGTACCCGGTCTTTCACCGTAACTAGTGTACGAGCCACCGCCGTAACCGGCGCCAGGGGATCCGTTTTTGGTACCGGCATAACCGTTTTTAGTACCAGCATACCCATTTTGCTGGCCATTATATCCTGTTTTTGTATAGGAATTAGATTTTGTGTAAGAATATCTGTTAACCTGCTTATTTCGCGAGTATGCTGGAACGTACGAAGGGGCCTCTACATAGGGTTGTCTGAAAATAATAAAAACAACGCGAAAAATAATTTTATTAAATTTGACCGCCTTCAGCTGTTCCTATTTAATGAAGTCATCCTTATAAGAAGCTAAGTCTATCAACATAAAAAAAAGTCAATTTTATTCATTTTGCATGAAAATCATTTTATGAAATTTGATCAACTTCTGCTGTACCGATTTTTTGGTGCCATACAATGAAACTCGGAGAGCACAAAAAAAATTGATCAGTTTTATTATTTTTTATGGACAACTCACGCATAAAAAAACTATGCCAAAATTATTTCCACAAAAAAATACTTAATGATCACGAAGATAGTTTTCTTATATCTTCTATGGTTTTGGATTTTCCCATCCTGTCCCATTTAAAAAAACACTCTGTATATAAGTTACCGCGAAATTGAACTTTGAAATTATTTGTATATTAAAATAAAAACAAATGCAAACTGAAGTATCATTATCGAAAATGATGCTGTAAATTAATTTTAAAAAATTCACCATAGACAAAATCAAAAAAGTTAAAAAAAAAAATATTTAAGTGACATAGCCATGATTAATTTCATGTGAAAAGACTTGGGATTAAAGAATTTAAATTTACATTTGTCAACTTATAAAAATTAGGCTATACCTTATAAAAATAAAAAATTAAACTTACGAGCTTGCCGCCGGTGCTGCCCCATATCCTGCGTTAGCAAAATACACGCCGAACAGCAGTATTAAAAGTTGTAATATTAACATTTTAATTTGTACCATCCATTTACAATAGGATGAATAGTACAGAACCAGTGCTTAGTAGAGCTGACTCTACTCTGAAGTTTTAATTATTTAAATTGCATTATGTTATCTCCCTTTAGGCACATATATCAGGAATACCAGTGAGCAACTTCCTTTCGATAGCAGAGATTCATCGGGAAATCTATAATATTACATTTTTCAAAGTTTATTAAGGATAATACCATCCACTTATACATCGACCACGAATAATTTAAGTATCAGTGGCGAGGGGTGGATATTGTCGCTTTAGATTGGGTGTATAGATGCACAATAGGT